GCCGGTTGCCCCGCCCCGCTCCCACTGCGCACTGCGGCGGGAGAGGATTCCCCTGCCCCCCAGGCTAAGGGGGAGACCGGTGGGGGTCTGCGCATGCGCTTCGCTTCCCCCTCCGCAGCGCGCGAAGGGAAAGCCCAGGCGCTGGAGGCTAGCAACCCTTACGCAGGCGCAGTGGGCGAGCAGAGGCCTCGCTGCCCCACCCGGTCGTCCAGGCAACGCGCTAGGGGAGGGCTGGGAACGCACGGAACTCCCCTCTCACGCCCCCACCTGCAGCCGGGGATTCCCTGCTGCTGGCACGCATGCGCACACTCGGGATTCCCGTAGGGGCGTGGCTGGGAGAGAAAGGGCTTTTGTGTAAAAAGGAGCAAAGGTGCGTGTTCTTTGTCTTTAGGCGTGCGGGTTGACGGCGTTCTTCTAGCTCAGGCCCTAACCTTGGCCAGCGCTTTTCACAGGCTTCCGCAGACCTTGTCTCGAGCGGTCCCCTCCCTCCCGTACAGCCTTGGCTCCCAAAGCCCCGCACGATGCCCACTCCGCGTTTCGCTTGACCGCTTCTGAAGTCAATTCATGCTGATCCTCGGCCTCCCCTCGTCCCCACCACTAGGACCCTAACTCACGCACGTAGGAGGATCCTCACCAAATCCTTCTTGCGGACCTGCTCTCGGAGCTAGGCAGTCTAGGGCTGGGCGCTTTTTCGCTCGCGATCGCGGAGGGGGGGCAGGGTCTCGCTTTGTAGCACAAACTGGCTTTCGATTCTCGCGACCCTTCTGCCTCAGCCTCCTGAGTGCTGGGATGTCGGACGTGCACCGCCACGCCCGGCTTGGGCCCTGTTTTTAGTCCCACTTTATAGGGCAGGAAACGAAGGTTTAGACCATTGAGGCACTTTCCCGAGGCCTTCGAAGAGGCAGAGGTGGGAGTCCTGGCTGCACACCATGCCTGCTCCTTTCCCCGCAGCTCTGGGTGCTCCCCCAGCAGTGGGGACACAGGCAGCTTTAGTCTGTAATGAGGTTCCATCCGCCAGGAGCTGTGCCGGGTTCGCATGGAGCTGCGGCGCTGGCGTGATCAGCGCCTAGCAGCCCCTGCCCCCAGGTGTGCTCGTTGGCGCCCCCTGCAGGCATCCTAACCTCCAGAAAAGCTTGCGGTGTGGGGGCTTCCCTTCTTACACTCACCAGAGCAACCTCCAAACCGAGCCTGTGCTTTGCCTACTTTTAGGGTTTTTTTTGGGGGGGGGTGCTGGGGATGAACCTAGGATCGCATATGCTTGGCAAGCGCTGAGCTGCACCCCAGTCCCGTGCTCAGCCCGTTCCTCAGCTGTCTCCCATCACTAATGGCACCTCTTCCTTGATCAGAGGTTGTGACCACCGGGGCTCCTTCTGCCGCTTTTGTCTTGCTTGGGTGAAGAACTCCTATGCATCCTTCAGCACCCCTCCCCGGGAGACCTTCCCTACTTCCACTGCAGCCCAGCCTCAAGGGCTTAACGCGGAGCTGTCTCTGGGACCTACATTCAGGCATCTTCCTTCTTTCCTTCATTCTAAGGACTTAAATCCAGCATTGACCGCGCTATAACCCCTGCCCTTTTGGGGGAGGTGTCCTGATATGTTACCCAGGTGGGCCTCAAAGTTGCGATCCTCCTGCCTCAGCCTCCAGGATAGCTGGACTTCAAGGCCGAAACCTTCTTGCCAGCAGCAGCAACAGGGCAGAGGGGGTTCAGCTGGCTATGTCTGAGAATTTGAGGACGAGGCAGAGAAAGGAGCTGAGGCGCAGGGTGAAAAGGGGGTGCCACCCAGGCGGGTGTTGTAGGGGCGACCTGCTCTTGACCCTTAGGTTTTGATTTCCCCACCACGGTGGGCTGTTCCTTGCAGGACTCTTCCAGCACCCCCGCGGACGCAACACACCCCTTCCTCCGTGTGAGGGCGTTTGTGGGGTCCGCCCCAGCTGCCAGCTGAGCGCTCTGATCACTGCCCTCGCGCCCCGTGCGGAGGGGAAGCGGCGCCTTTCCGCGTGGGACCTCCGCTGGCCTG